AGCTAAAAGAAATTTTTTCGCATGTCTGCATGAAGACACTAATTCGTTACGTTTGTTCAAAGTAGCCAGTTCAGGTTTACATATAATAAAGTATTTTTCCCACAGGCAGAGATTACATCTATTAGAAGCAGGGCTGTAGGGTATGTGCCTTTTCGTAAATATTTAATATTATTGTTAGATTATAATGACGCACGGAATTACGTACACACCTGTCGTAAATTAAGGTATAGCCAATACTCCAATAGCATACTCTTATTTCTATAAATCATGTATGTGCCTTTTAAAGCAAAAATTTGTTTCAGAAATAGGTAAAATGCGGGCCGTCACTAACTTTTCATTTGCAAACGAAATTGCTGTGGGAAATGGATTTTCCCGCCTTTATTCCGAAGACCATGCAAGTGCACTGACCACTGTCCTAAACTGTCCTATAAAGTACAAACTTTTAATTTACAAGGACAAATTTTCCATAAACAAGCCACAAAGTGTATAAAAAAATCACTGACACGCTATTTTAATGCCTGATTTAGACAAGACTGGGTCTTGAACAATATCGCTTGTTGTTTTACATTGGCGGATCATTCATGCGATTCAAGAATTACTCCACACGAAACATGCGTCAGAAAACGATTGTTTTTAAGTTTATAATGATAATGATAATGGACTTTTCCATTTTTTTTTATTTTTCTTAAAAGCACTCACGGGTGAATGAGTTAAATGCCGTCTTGTTCGTCACTGGTGGTAAAAAAATGTGAAATTAAAAAATTGGAAAAATTTCGTTTCAACAAAAGCTGCTGCTCGCTCAGGCTGCTCAACACTTTCGAAGAACGTCGAACGAAGATCGTCGATCGAAGAACGTCGATCGAAGAACGTCGTTAAAGTTTATTTTCCGGATGTATGCAATGTTAACAAGGTAAGTACATGCATTGCTTATTTAAAACATGTTATTATTTTTTTTCGGACGTTGCAACCTAGTCAAGTCAGCCCAAACCTGTGATAGGCAAGGCTGTTGTAGATTCCGTGCAAATCTTCGTATATTTTCTCATAAACTTTCGAAGTTCATATTGTTCACAGGGCTCATTATTCTTTGTGTCAGTTTGTGTCAGCTTGTGGAAAACATGATAGAACATAAGATTTTAAAGGTTTTTACTTCCTTACACGAGCCGGTGCTATGATGCGAATTGCGCCAAAAATTAGTTATACAAATTATCAGGTCAATTCCGTGAGGACAAAAACGCCGCCGTTGCTTAATCGGGCCGTTTGCTGTGACCTCGAAAAGTTTCTAGAAAACAATTTTCATGATTCGAACAAAACGGTCTTTTGTTAAAAGGAAGACTGGTTAATAGAAATTGGCCTTTTCAGTGACATAATCGTTTGTCGTCATCGATCCGTGTCGTTGAACAATGAAAAAATTTGTCATGAAATTAGTGAACTAAGATAACTTTAGCGGGAACTTTTCGGATTTGAACTCAGCGTGTTCGAAAGTGTTAGTTCCCGTAAAAATATTTCAGTTTCAAGACATGGGCAATTTTTAGTCTTGTAATATTATGCGTGTTGGACGCAAACAACATAATTATCTTGTCTACAACTTTACCTAAGGTATGTACAGATAAAGCTTTCTAAAATCCTCAGTTCTGGCTATAAAATTATAAAGTCCTTTGGCTGTATCTCTGGGCTGAGAAATAATTCCTTACATCTGATCAAAATGTTTTATACAACGATATAAAACGGTAATGTTATGTATGGGTCAGCTTTAAATTTCCAACTGACAGTTTCTGAGAATGTAATTCAAGAGGTAACTTATATCATTGCATTTGAACCATTATATATCAGTTGGTGTTATTCTGTGCGATTAGCGATTATTATTGAGAAGGGCTAGAGCTTTCATATATATGTTGAAATCACCAAATAAACAGCTCATGCACACATTTCTCCACTTGGTCTTCGTCCTATTAAGTTTATGCTTTGGCACTGATCTTTGTCTTTGATGTGAACATTTATTCTTCTAGTTTAAAATTATTTAAGAATGATCCTGTTGAAAGTCTTTCAGTACCAGCAACCCCATCGACAATATTTCATATTAGCGTTCGGTCTTTGCTGTCTCGCTGGCTTCGCGTTACTTTTGTTTTAACAAGTAATCGCATAGTTCCTCGTAAAATTAAGGTTTAATTTCACTTGTGTTTTCAAATCAAAGATTCACAATTTGTGAAACTCAGCTTTGAAAACACGCGTGAAATTAAACCTTAATTTTACTCGGCCCCATGCGATTACCTATACTGTCTATACTAACGCGATCAAGGTATTTAATCATATAGAAGGCAAAATTTATTCGTAAGTTAATAGTGATCTTGTCAAATTCGTAGTTTTTCTAGTGTTCAAGTTTTCACTAAAAGTTTTTAATTCTTCAGTAACATCATTATCCGCGACGAAAAGGCGAGAAGCCATTGTTGTGGGAAATGGATTGTGTCATTTTTTTTAGATTTTTCTTAAAAGCACTCACAGGTGAATGAGTTAAATGCCGTCTTGTTCGTCACTGGTGGTAAAAAAATGTGAAATTAAAAAATTGGAAAAATTTCGTTTCAACAAAAGCTGCTGCTCGCTCAGGCTGCTCAACACTTTCGAAGAACGTCGAACGAAGATCGTCGATCGAAGAACGTCGATCGAAGAACGTCGTTAAAGTTTATTTTCCGGATGTATGCAATGTTAACAAGGTAAGTACATGCATTGCTTATTTAAAACATGTTATTATTTTTTTTCGGACGTTGCAACCTAGTCAAGTCAGCCCAAACCTGTGATAGGCAAGGCTGTTGTAGATTCCGTGCAAATCTTCGTATATTTTCTCATAAACTTTCGAAGTTCATATTGTTCACAGGGCTCATTATTCTTTGTGTCAGTTTGTGTCAGCTTGTGGAAAACATGATAGAACATAAGATTTTAAAGGTTTTTACTTCCTTACACGAGCCGGTGCTATGATGCGAATTGCGCCAAAAATTAGTTATACAAATTATCAGGTCAATTCCGTGAGGACAAAAACGCCGCCGTTGCTTAATCGGGCCGTTTGCTGTGACCTCGAAAAGTTTCTAGAAAACAATTTTCATGATTCGAACAAAACGGTCTTTTGTTAAAAGGAAGACTGGTTAATAGAAATTGGCCTTTTCAGTGACATAATCGTTTGTCGTCATCGATCCGTGTCGTTGAACAATGAAAAAATTTGTCATGAAATTAGTGAACTAAGATAACTTTAGCGGGAACTTTTCGGATTTGAACTCAGCGTGTTCGAAAGTGTTAGTTCCCGTAAAAATATTTCAGTTTCAAGACATGGGCAATTTTTAGTCTTGTAATATTATGCGTGTTGGACGCAAACAACATAATTATCTTGTCTACAACTTTACCTAAGGTATGTACAGATAAAGCTTTCTAAAATCCTCAGTTCTGGCTATAAAATTATAAAGTCCTTTGGCTGTATCTCTGGGCTGAGAAATAATTCCTTACATCTGATCAAAATGTTTTATACAACGATATAAAACGGTAATGTTATGTATGGGTCAGCTTTAAATTTCCAACTGACAGTTTCTGAGAATGTAATTCAAGAGGTAACTTATATCATTGCATTTGAACCATTATATATCAGTTGGTGTTATTCTGTGCGATTAGCGATTATTATTGAGAAGGGCTAGAGCTTTCATATATATGTTGAAATCACCAAATAAACAGCTCATGCACACATTTCTCCACTTGGTCTTCGTCCTATTAAGTTTATACTTTGGCACTGATCTTTGTCTTTGATGTGAACATTTATTCTTCTAGTTTAAAATTATTTAAGAATGATCCTGTTGAAAGTCTTTCAGTACCAGCAACCCCATCGACAATATTTCATATTAGCGTTCGGTCTTTGCTGTCTCGCTGGCTTCGCGTTACTTTTGTTTTAACAAGTAATCGCATAGTTCCTCGTAAAATTAAGGTTTAATTTCACTTGTGTTTTCAAATCAAAGATTCACAATTTGTGAAACTCAGCTTTGAAAACACGCGTGAAATTAAACCTTAATTTTACTCGACCCCATGCGATTACCTATACTGTCTATACTAACGCGATCAAGGTATTTAATCATATAGAAGGCAAAATTTATTCGTAAGTTAATAGTGACCTTGTCAAATTCGTAGTTTTTCTAGTGTTCAAGTTTTCACTAGAAGTTTTTAATTCTTCAGTAACATCATTATCCGCGACGAAAAGGCGAGAAGCCATTGTTGTGGGAAATGGATTGTGTCATTTTTTTTAGATTTTTCTTAAAAGCACTCACAGGTGAATGAGTTAAATGCCGTCTTGTTCGTCACTGGTGGTAAAAAAATGTGAAATTAAAAAATTGGAAAAATTTCGTTTCAACAAAAGCTGCTGCTCGCTCAGGCTGCTCAACACTTTCGAAGAACGTCGAACGAAGATCGTCGATCGAAGAACGTCGATCGAAGAACGTCGTTAAAGTTTATTTTCCGGATGTATGCAATGTTAACAAGGTAAGTACATGCATTGCTTATTTAAAACATGTTATTATTTTTTTTCGGACGTTGCAACCTAGTCAAGTCAGCCCAAACCTGTGATAGGCAAGGCTGTTGTAGATTCCGTGCAAATCTTCGTATATTTTCTCATAAACTTTCGAAGTTCATATTGTTCACAGGGCTCATTATTCTTTGTGTCAGTTTGTGTCAGCTTGTGGAAAACATGATAGAACATAAGATTTTAAAGGTTTTTACTTCCTTACACGAGCCGGTGCTATGATGCGAATTGCGCCAAAAATTAGTTATACAAATTATCAGGTCAATTCCGTGAGGACAAAAACGCCGCCGTTGCTTAATCGGGCCGTTTGCTGTGACCTCGAAAAGTTTCTAGAAAACAATTTTCATGATTCGAACAAAACGGTCTTTTGTTAAAAGGAAGACTGGTTAATAGAAATTGGCCTTTTCAGTGACATAATCGTTTGTCGTCATCGATCCGTGTCGTTGAACAATGAAAAAATTTGTCATGAAATTAGTGAACTAAGATAACTTTAGCGGGAACTTTTCGGATTTGAACTCAGCGTGTTCGAAAGTGTTAGTTCCCGTAAAAATATTTCAGTTTCAAGACATGAGCAATTTTTAGTCTTGTAATATTATGCGTGTTGGACGCAAACAACATAATTATCTTGTCTACAACTTTACCTAAGGTATGTACAGATAAAGCTTTCTAAAATCCTCAGTTCTGGCTATAAAATTATAAAGTCCTTTGGCTGTATCTCTGGGCTGAGAAATAATTCCTTACATCTGATCAAAATGTTTTATACAACGATATAAAACGGCAATGTTATGTATGGGTCAGCTTTAAATTTCCAACTGACAGTTTCTGAGAATGTAATTCAAGAGGTAACTTATATCATTGCATTTGAACCATTATATATCAGTTGATATTATACCTCAAATTCAAATTGTCCAATCAAGAAGCTTAGTTTGTGCCACGTGAGCATGAAATTAATCGCGATATCACGCCTTACGTCATCAATTAGCGAGCCTGCGTTCCTTTTGACAATGTTCCCAGGGTGGAACATTATTCGCGTAGACCGCGCGGGACAACACGAATGACAACAAGATGGCCGACAAAATTTAATTATTGTTGATGAGTGATGAATAATCAAATTTTAAACGTAAAACCTGGGGCGTTTTCAAAATTTTGAAGCAAATTTTGAAAAATGTTGTCATTAATATTCCAAACGATATGTGATTCGAAAGAAAATCGACGAATACTTGCGTTAATCCGAAAATAAAACATCGTATTCACGAAGGTATGTGTCAAGTTTTTAATTCTCAACTTGGAGGCTTTTAATTTTCGGTATAATATATCATTTATAGACCCTCCGCTTGGGGGATTCGGCGAAATATTACCCTCAGTGATGATATTTCCCTCGGGGCAAAGCCCCTCGGAAAATTATATCACTTCGGGTAATATTTCGCCGAATCCCCCTCGCTCCAGGTCTATAAATGATAAGTGTTATACTGTGCGATTAGCGATTATTATTGGGAAGGGCTAGGGCTTTCATATATGTTGAAATCACCAAATAAACAGCTCATGCACACATTTCTCCACTTCGTCCTATTAAGTTTATACTTTGGCACTGATCTTTGTCTTTGATGTGAACATTTATTCTTCTAGTTTAAGATTATTTAAGAGTGATCCTGTTGAAAGTCTTTCAGTACCAGCAACCCATCGACAATATTTCATATTAGCGTTCGGTCTTTGCTGTCTCGCTGGCTTCGCGTTACTTTTGTTTTAAATACCTTAATCGCGTTAGTATAGACAGTATAGGTAATCGCATGGGGCCGAGTAAAATTAAGGTTTAATTTCACGCGTGTTTTCAAAGCTGAGTTTCACAAATTGTGAATCTTTGATTTGAAAACACAAGTGAAAATAAACCTTAATTTTACGAGGAACTATGCGATTACTTGTTAATCATATAGAAGGCAAAATTTATTCGTAAGTTAATAGTGACCTTGTCAAATTCGTAGTTTTTCTAGTGTTCAAGTTTTCACTAGAAGTTTTTAATTCTTCAGTAACATCATTATCCGCGACGAAAAGGCGAGAAGCCATTGTTTTTATTGCTATTTAAAACAAAAGCTAAGCTTGCGTCTCAGCCAATCAGGTACAAGTAATTTTGCCCTGAATTAAGAAAAAATGCCCTCCTCATTAGCCAACCATATTTGAGTAATTTTTCCCTTTATATGATTAAAAGAGTTATTTCTCAGCCCAGAGACATAGCCAAAACTGAGGATTTTAGAAAGCTCTATCTGTACCTTCTCAAAGTTGTAGACATGATATGACTAATGTTGTTTATACGTCCAACACTATAATATTACATAACTCAAAATGATTCGAGCAAAACTGGTCTTTTGTTAAAAGGAAGACTGGTTAATAGAAATTGATCTTTTTGAGTGACATAATCGTTTGTCGTCATCGATCCGTGCAGGTCATTGAACAATGAAAAAAGTTGTCGTGAAATTAGTGAAAATAAAATTGCAGTTTGTAAGAAAACTGCAGGTTTTGAACTCAGCGTGTTCGACAGTGTTAGTTCCCGTAAAAATATTTCAGTTCCAAGACATGGGAAATGAAAGTGAACGATAACGGAACGCAGCAAACGGCTTATAAGCTCACTATTTACAGTTGAAATCAGCAAGTCAATTTGGGGCATTAATTATTCCATACTGATTGATTTTTCAGAGGTCTCTCATTGGTCGTGGCAGTTTTCCTTCTACCATTTTTGGGGCGAAACTTTCTAACACAAGCATTGTACGAAGTCCGTTTCGACCAGGCCAAAGAGGATTATGGTCTAGCCGACAATGAAGTGTTTCTTGATTTGTCCCGGACGCCTCGTGTTCAATGTTTTTACCACTGTTCAATGGATTGCCGTTGCTCGTCTTTCCAAATGTTTAAGGATACGGACTGTCAACTACTGTCGTCATCACGGGCTGAAGTGACGCTACAGCGCATGTCTGGATACACTTATTATGACATGATACCTTGGCAGGTAATAATTACGTTTTTCTAATCGGTTTCGTGGCAACACGAAAACAAGACTATTCAGTCGACTTTGGTTTCACTGACCTTCAGGGCCATTTTTAAGGCCTTTAGCTTTAAGGATTTGTCAGTTAGTGAGGGGGCATCTACTGAAAGGGGCAATAATATACTGATGTGTAGAAATAAGAGACGGTTGGTGATGACAAAATGTTTGGTGTGGTGTCGTGTGATAGTATAGGGGTTTAGGGGCATTTCCCCCCAGAAACGTTTTCTTATTTTTCCACCCCTAGGACTGCAGGACTGCATTTCTTGCGTTTTCTGAAACACATTTTTGGATATACAGCATTACATGTTTATGTAAATACCACAACTCGGTCACTAACTTGTTTAGCCTAGCCTTCCAACAACTCAAATTTATAGGGTCTGGGATATGCTATCCACTGGAAAATTTTTAAGATCTAAGCTATTTACTACACAATGTTTAGCATTTCTAAAAAGCCATTAAATCATCCAATTCATTTGAAGATGACATAAGATTCACAAAGCAAGGTTCAGAACTAGAATATCAAACCTCCCTTCTTTAACATTCTATTTTTCTTTCATTGTTTTGCTTATATATTGGAGAAAAGGGATCTTGACTCGTTGGGCCATGAACATTGTCGTGGTAAATGACGTCATAGTTCTTTTTCTTATTCCACAGGGAACAAGTTGTCCCATAGATTGTTGCAAGCAAAACCCATGTCTCCACGGAGGGGCTTGTAAACCTCCGACCGATGATCCCACGATCCGTTTCCGATGTCTCTGTCGTAAAGGCTACGGCGGCAAGCGATGCCAGTATCGAATCGGTTGCCCAGGTTATTTGGACATTGTGACATCTCGCGCAAACGGGATTTACACATTGGTTAACCCTAACACAAGAGAACCTTTTCAGGTACGAGAAGTAATCTGTCACAACGAGGAGTTTTCAACTGGAAGTCAAAGTGTGCTGAAAAGCGAGGCACTAAGCTGCACTAGCCAACATAACTTCTCTATTATGTACCTGTGTCTAAAGTACATATCAAACGAAATTTTTTATTTATAAAAAATTTCGTATCATAAATTGAGTTAATTTATGATACAGCGCTGATTTCCTTTGCATTTTGGTCATAAATTACAACGGGCATTTTTGTAAAATGTTATATACCGTACACTGGACTCCCATGTTTGAGATATCTTTTTCAGAAACCATGACAGTTTAGGGACCGGTCATAAAGTAATTACTATAGGGAGGTGGAGGATAAATGAAATTTAAAGTTCATATTTCCATACCCTCCCAAAAACCTATGGAAAAATTTTCTAATGGTGTGAGCTATAGTACTAAGATTTCGGTACCCCGCTAGAAGTTCTGTTGTTTTTTTCGTACCCCCCTCAGAGGTTCTGGGGTTTTCTCGTATCCC